GGCCGGTGTTTTTTTCTGATGCGAGCTTGCCGCCGCAGCCTGGGGCGGCACGCTGGTGTCCGAAAGAGGACGGGCCCGCACCACGTAGTCGGACATGCCGTGCTGCGCTGTTCTAACCCCCAGAAGGTTCTAAAAACATGTGTTGGTAGACCTACAAAATGCCGGGACGCGCCGCCATTGTTCGACGAACCCTCACTCCTCAGGATCGAATACATCCCCAGGCCGAATTTTTTCCTCGTGGATGAAATATGAGAACACCGATGGATCCAATTGGATCCCCCTGTGGTGGACCGTCATCAGACCATCTTGGGCCGTCTTGGGCCTCTTGGGCAGTCTTGGGGCCCCCTCGAAGGCCTTCCTGGGGGCCCTCTTGGAAGCCTCCTGGGCTGTCGTGGGACGAAATTTGGAGCCTCTAGGGCCGTATTGGAGCCTCGGGAAACCGAACAGGTGAGAACACCACAATCCATCAAAAACCTAAAAAGGGGATCAGTGACTTTTGCTTCCTAGGGCCCTTTTGAAACGATTCTTGGAGGCCTCTGTGGGCGTCGTGGAGGCGCCTGCGGCCATGTGGAAGCCATCTTGGGCGTCTTGGACCGATCGGGAAGCGACCCAGAGACATCTTGAGGACAGCTTGAAGCCTTCTTGGAGCGTTCTGGGGCGCCGGACAACCGCGCCCAGGCGGAAAACCATCTCTGACGGGACCGTCCCGGTGTACTTCTCGTCCAGGGACCCCAGGGGCCGCCCCGCACGCGCGAAGTAGAAAGATTGTTTACCAATTACCGGAGATCTTGGCGCGCCTCTGGCCCGCTGGGCCGGCGAATCTTCCGGGAATATACATAAAACAATGACTCACATCCTGGACCCACTGGAAACCGGATCCGCGGGGCACCGCACGTGAAGCATCATGCCATCCACGGAACTGTGTATCTGCTGACCAAAGCTATGATTCTACGAGGGAAGGGGGGTCTTCCAAGGACGGCTAGGGGAAGGAGGAGGGAGGAGGCACGAGGAGAGTGGAGGAGGGGAGAAGGGACGGGAGAAGGTAAGAGAGAGGAGGAACATTCAGGGAGGAGGTGGGGGGGGAGGAAAAAGGGGAGGAGGAGCAAGAGGGAGGCGGGATGCGGAAGGAGGAAAGGGGAGGGAGGAGGCGGGGGGAGGAGGGGGGAGGTGGAAGGAGGAGGGAGGAGGGAGGACGGGGAGCAGGAGGACAGGCAAGCAAAGTGTCAAAATCGGAGTATCGAGCACCACAGCGAGCCGGGCCTCCCCCCTCAGCCCCTCCCATAACATGTGGTTGCTCGAGCGCCACACCGGGCCTGGCCATCGCCCGAAAAATCCTCCCATGACATAAGGTTGCTCGAACGCCACAACGGGCCTGGCCAACTCCCGCATTTCCTCCCATATCATATGGCATGCCCAAAACCGAAGAGAGTGCCACATGTATCCGCTCATACTGAACGGCACTTCGCTTCCGACATTCGCGGCTCAAGCGGAAAATCTTTCGGCCTGCGTAAGTACTCACAGCCCCGGACCGCAAACTCCCAAAATCTCCCAAGCTCCTGGCGTGCTTCCAGGGGCTCCCCCCATGTTGTCACTTGCCCTTTTCTGGGCCAAGAGGGCCCCAAGACGGACCAAGGAGAGGGCCCCAAGAAGCTCCCATGACGGCCAAAGAGGGCCCAAGAGCTCCCGTAGAGCGTTTCATCTTCCAACCTCAATTTCTTCCGCTTCGGGGAGGAGTTTACCTCTCCCTCTTCCCCCCCCCCCCCCCGGGTCTGCACTGGGCGCCCCGCAAGCGGTCAGAGCGTCCAAGATGACCCAAAATTGCTCCAAGAGGGCCTTGGAGAGCCCAAGATGGCCTCCAAGATGGCTCAGGATAGCGCAAGATCGCTCCAGATGGCCTCCCACATGCTCTAAGAGGCCCCCCAAACCAATCCAAGACGGGCCCAAGTGCTATTCAATGCTCTGCAATGCTCACAAAACGCCATGCTATGCAATCCCATGAAAAGCTACGGAATGCTACATAATGTTATGCAAAGATATGCAATGCTACGGTTTCAATGCAATTCAAATGATGTGTCATGCTACGCATGCTCTGCAATGCTACGCAATACTATGCGACGCACTGCTGCATGACGCAGTGGCGTACCATGGACTGCTTGGGCATATGACGAAACGTCGCAGATAGGCAAGCCTAGCGGTACGGTATCAGAGTGTTAGTGCGATTGTGATTTCGCATGATCCTGCCGTTGTTTCCTGTGGATGTCTGAACACCGAGCTGTGGGGGGCCCGTGCAGAATCTACCCGACATGCATTCTGTACGCGGCTGGGCGCTGTTGGCCACCGCTGTTGGCCCTGACCTTCGCGGGCACGAGACCTCGCCAGAGGAGCGCGGGGCAAAAGCATCCGCTGCGCAGGGCTAGCAATTGCCGCTGGCCTGCACTCCCCCATCAGGCCTCATGGGCCCAACGCTATCCTTCAGGTAGCATTCACCGTTGTTGGTCACAGTCCAGCCCTTGCATTGGCCCCCGGAAGCCTGGCACCTCACCTTGCAGAACTCTGCGTTCTGCACTTGGATCGGGCCCTCGTAGTTGTGCCCATCGTTGTTCTGCTGGTTCTGCTGGTCCCCGCAGCTGGGGTAGCAGTAGCCGCTGCCCTGAACGCCCGCATCGCTCTGCATGTCCCCGACGCTTGTCTTCAGGTAGCACTCGTTGTTGTTGGTCACGGTCCAACCCGTGCACTTGTTGCTCCCGCTCATACCGCACAACCGCTTGCAAGTCTCAGTGTCGGTGTTGACGATGGGGCCCTCGTAGTTGCTGCCCCAGTTGTTGTTCCCATTCCAGGTGCCCCCGCAGTAGTACGAAGGTCCGGAGCTGAGGCCTCCCTGTTCACTGCCGCACACCCGAGTGGAGCAACTGCTGTCCCAATCAGATTGCGTGTTGTAGTACTGGTGGGCCTTTCCAGGGCCGCAGTTCGGGCCTGAGCACTCCACGTGGCAACCGGGGGCATACATGCGGTTGTTCCAATCCGTGCCGCAGTCGCTGCACTCCCCAGCCGGCCACCAGCAGCAGAAACTGCTGCAGTCTGACGCAGACGCGAGCGAGGTGCTGTTTGCCGCGTAGCCTCGGAGCTGCCGAGCGGACGGCCCCATGTCCGCCGACGCCACTGCAGCGAAGCCGATCACCTGCATCGCACGCGCCATGCTGTCACAGCGGGTCTCTGGCAAGCTGAGCACAAACGGGGCGCGAGTAGAGAACTGTGACCTGGAGCCTTGAGCCTACAGCCGAAACGGATCGATATGAGCGCGTCAATTGGGCGAATCATGGTGCCAAATGTTTGAACACGCCGCAGATACATTATCAGCGGAGCAGAAGACAGTACGTGATGTGATGACAACCGGCTCGGTTTTGCTACAGCCTCCTCCAAGTGAAAAGCCGATGTCTGCAAATATGGCCTTCTGCTCAGGCCCCCACCTCTTCCTCCCATCCGATTTTTTTGCTCTGGCGAGGGCTTCGATTGGAGCCGTAGCTGGAGATCCGCATGATCCGCGTGAGTGGTGTGCCGAAGTGAGCGGGGCCCCGCATGTGGACGCGCCCACTGGGGCCGCTGGTGAGCTCCCTGTGGGGCACGATCCGCGTGAGGCATGTGCCGAAGTGGGTCGAGGGCGGCATGCGACGGCGCCCACTGGGGCCGCAGGTGGAGCTCCTTGTGGTGCACGATCCGCGTGAGGCGTGTGCTGAAATGAGCGGGGGGCGGCGTGCGACGGCGCCCACTGGGGCCGCAAGTGGAGCTCCCTGTGGGTGCACGGCCAGCCACCGGGGCCGCACAGGGGCGTCCGGGGACCCTCGGGACCTCTGGGAGCGCCCGGGGGTCAGGACGCGGTCGTCGTTGAGCAACTCGAGGCAAGCGGAGGGCCCTGGAGGGCCTCTCGATGGCCTAAAACGGCCTCGACGCGGCCCCGCGTGAGCCCCCTGAGAAAATCGTCCAACGGCTAGGAGGGCCAAAAAAGGCCCAAGAGCCCTCCACATGGGCCCACCGTTGCTCTACCTCAAAGATGAGTCCTCACCAGCCCCCACACGAGTCCTCAAACATGAGTCCTCAACCTCCTGAGGTTGAGGACCCATGCTCCTCATCGACGATCGACGCCCTCTTCTGCCCCTGCCGCCTTCCACTGCCCAGCAAGTCTTCCCCCATGATGTTCCTCGAACTCATCCTCATCCTCATCCTCATCCATGCTCTTCCTAGTCCTCGTGAGGTTCTCAACGTTCTCCTGCTCATGTACCCCGTCCTCCTTCCTCCTCCTCCTCCTCGTCCTTCCCCATCCTCGCCCCCCTCATCTTTAGCCTCGTGCTTCTCTCGCTTCTCCGCCTCATCATCATCATCATCATCATCATCATCATCATCATCATCATCATCATCATCATCATCATCATCATCATCATCATCATCATCATCATCATCATCATCATCATCATCACGCCCCATACTCAGTTTCCCCTTTCCTCCTCCTCCCACACATGTTTCAATGGGGCTACCGAAATTCGCTTTTCCGCGACAAAGTGGCCAAACATTGTCTCGAGGAACACCCAACAGCGCCGCAAAGAACCCAAGAGGCGCCACAGGGACCCTCAAAGGGCGTCCAAGACACCAGCTGCGAGGCCAAAAGGCCCTCCAGGAAGGCCAGATGGTTACAATGCATACGGCATTCCCTAGGTCCTGCAAACTTATGCGTTTCCCGAACATGTCAGCTCAAGATGTTTGGCAGACGGCCTGGGCGAAGCCAAGGGGAGGCCAAGCGCGCAGCACCAGGTCCCCAAGAGGTCCCCCCAGACGGCCCAGGGCAGCCCCAGGATGGGCCCCAGACGGCCCAGGGCAGCCCCAGGATGGGCCCAGGAGGGGCGCAGGACAGATGAACAGGGCCCAAGAGGGCCCCAAGAGACGCCCCAATTGACAGCCTAAGAGACCTCCCCGAGCGGGCGAGAGTTGAGCAGTGAACGACGTCTCAGTTGTCGCTCTAAGGCCTGGCCAGAAAACGTCCTAGGAAACCAAGCATGATCCAAACGCATAAACAATGCGTTTAGAACAATTTGGGGGTCCGATCGCGTTGACGTCGGCTGTATGCAACCGCGAAAACTCTTGGGGGGGGCCAGAAATGCCCCCGCCAAGGCCCCGCTCTGGGGCCCAAAAAACAATATGTTTAGAACATGTTGGAAATGTTCCTAACATGACTGTTCTGGACGCGCTTCCCGCATAGAGCAAATGTTCCAAGAATCTCCACTGGAAAATGTTCCGGGCTAATGTTTTGGGCCATTGGTTTTTATGTTCCGGACCGGTGTTTTTTTCTGATGCGAGCGTGCCGCCGCAGCCTGGGGCGGCACGCTGGTGTCCGAAAGAGGACGGGCCCGCACCACGTAGTCGGACATGCCGTGCTGCGCTGTTCTAACCCCCTCAAGGTTCTAAAAACATGTGTTGGTAGACCTACAAAATGCCGGGACGCGCCGCCATTGTTCGACGAACCCTCAGTCCTCAGGATCGAATACATCCCCAGGCCGGACTTTTTCCTCGTGGATTAAATATGAGAACACCGATGGATCCAATTGGATCCCCCTGTGGACCGTCCTGAGGCCATCTTGGGCCGTCTTGGAAGCCTCTTGGGCAGTCTTGGGGCCCCCTCGAAGGCCTTCCTGGGGCCCTCTTGGAAGCCTCCTGGGCTGTCGTGGGACGAAATTTGGAGCCTCTAGGGCCGTCTTGGAGCCTCGGGAAACAGGTGAGAACACCACAATCCATCAAAAACCTAAAAAGGGGATCAGTGACTTTTGCTTCCTAGGGCCCTTTTTGAGACGCTTCTTGGAGGCCTCTGTGGGCGTCGTGGAGGCGTCTGCGGCCATGTGGAGGCCATCTTGGGCGTCTTGGACCGATCGGAAAGCGACCCGGAGACATCTTGAGGACAGCTTGAAGCCTTCTTGGAGCGCTCTGGGGCGCCGGACAACCGCGCCCAGGCGGAAAACCATCTCTGACGGGACCGTCCTGGTGTACTTCTTGTCCAGGGACCCCCAGGGGCCGCCCCGCACGCGCGAAGTAGAAATATTGTTTACCAATTACCGGAGATCTTGGCGCGCCTCTGGCCCGTTGGGCCGGCGAATCTTCCGGGAATATACATAAAATAATGACTCACATCCTGGACCCAATGGAAACCGGATCCGCGGGGCACCGCACGCGAAGCATCATGCCATCCACGGAACTGTGTATCTGCTGACCAAAGCTATGATTCTACGAGGGAGGGGGGGTCTTCCAAGGACGGCTAGGGGAAGGAGGAGGGAGGAGGCACGAGGAGAGGGGAGGAGGGGAGAAGGGACGGGAGAAGGTAAGAGAGAGGAGGAACATTCAGGGAGGAGGGGTGGGGGGGGAGGAAAAAGGGGAGGAGGAGCAAGAGGGAGGAGGGATGCGGAAGGAGGAAAGGGGAGGGAGGAGGCGGGGGGAGGAGGGGGGAGGTGGAAGGAGGAGGGAGGAGGGAGGACGGGGAGCAGGAGGACAGGCAAGCAAAGTGTCAAAATCGGAATATCGAGCACCACAGCGAGCCGGGCCTCCCCCCTCAGCCCCTCCCATAACATGTGGTTGCTCGAGCGCCACACCGGGCCTGGCCATCGCCCGAAAAATCCTCCCATGACATAAGGTTGCTCGAACGCCACAACGGGCCTGGCCAACTCCCGCATTTCCTCCCATATCATATGGCATGCCCAAAACCGAAGAGAGTGCCACATGTATCCGCTCATACTGAACGGCACTTCGCTTCCGACATTCGCGGCTCAAGCGGACAATCTTTCGGCCTGCGTAAGTACTCACAGCCCCGGACCGCAAACTCCCAAAATCTCCCAAGCTCCTGGCGTGCTTCCAGGGGCTCCCCCCGTGTTGTCACTTGCCCTTTTCTGGGCCAAGAGGGCCCCAAGACGGACCAAGGAGAGGGCCCCAAGAAGCTCCCATGACGGCCAAAGAGGGCCCAAGAGCTCCCGTAGAGCGTTTCCTCTTTCAACCTCAATTTCTTCCGCTTCGGGGAGGAGTTTACCTCTCCCTCTTCCCCCCCCCCGGGTCTGCACTGGGCGCCCCGCAAGCGGTCAGAGCGTCCAAGATGACCCAAAATTGCTCCAAGAGGGCCTTGGAGAGCCCAAGATGGCTTCCAAGATGGCTCAGGATAGCGCAAGATCGCTCCAGATGGCCTCCCACATGCTCTAAGAGGCCCCCAAAACCAATCCAAGACGGGCCCAAGTGCTATTCAATGCTCTGCAATGCTCACACAACGCCATGCTATGCAACCCCATGAAATGCTACGGAATGCTACATATTGTTATGTAAAGATATGCAATGCTACGGTTTCAATGCAATTCAAATGATGTGTAATGCTACGCATGCTCTGCAATGCTACGCAATACTATGCGACGCACTGCTGCATGACGCAGTGGCGTACCATGGACTGCTTGGGCATATGACGAAACGTCGCAGATAGGCAAGCCTAGCGGTACGGTATCAGAGTGTTAGTGCGACTGTGATTTCGCATGATCCTGCCGATGTTCCCTGTGGATGTCTGAACACCGAGCTGTGGGTGGCCCGTGCAGAATCTACCCGCCATGCATTCTGTACGCGCTCGGGCAGCTCGTTGGCACCCGCTGTTGGCCCTGACCTTCGCGGTCACGAGGCCTCAGCCTAGAGGAGCGCGGGGCAAAAGCATCCGCTGAGCAGGGCTAGCAATTGCCTGGGCCTGCAACTCCCCCGATTTCAGGCCTCATGGGTCCAAACGCTATTCTTCAGGGAGCATTCACCGTTGTTGGTCACAGTCCAGGGGGGGGGGGGGGGGGGGGGCCCCCCCTCATTGGCCCCCGGAAGCCTGGCACCTCACCTTGCAGAACTCTGCGTTCTGCACTTGGATCGGGCCCTCGTAGTTGTGCCCATCGTTGTTCTGCTGGTTCTGCTGGTCCCCGCAGCTGGGGTAGCAGTAGCCGCTGCCCTGGACGCCCGCATCGCTCTGCATGTCCCCGACGCTGGTCTTCAGGTAGCACTCGTTGTTGTTGGTCACGGTCCAACCCGTGCACTTGTTGCTCCCGCTCATACCGCACAACCGCTTGCAAGTCTCAGTGTCGGTGTTGACGATCGGGCCCTCGTAGTTGCTGCCCCAGTTGTTGTTCCCATTCCAGGTGCCCCCGCAGTAGTACGAAGGTCCGGAGCTGAGGCCTCCCTGTTCACTGCCGCACACACGAGTGGAGCAACTGCTGTCCCAATCAGATTGCGTGTTGTAGTACTGGTGGGCCTTTCCAGGGCCGCAGTTCGGGCCTGAGCACTCCACGTGGCAACCAGGGGCATACATGCGGCTGTTCCAGTCCGTGCCGCAGTCGCTGCACTCCCCAGCCGGCCACCAGCAGCAGAAACTGCTGCAGTCTGACGCAGACGCGAGCGAGGTGCTGTTTGCCGCGTAGCCGCGGAGCTGCCGAGCGGACGGCCCCATGTCCGCCGACGCCACTGCAGCGAAGCCGATCACCTGCATCGCACGCGCCATGCTGTCACAGCGGGTCTCTGGCAAGCTGCACAAACGGGGCGCGAGTAGAGAACTGTGACCTGGAGCCTTGAGCCTACAGCCGAAACGGATCGATATGAGCGCGTCAGTTGGGCGAATCATGGTGCCAGATGTTTGAACACGCCGCAGATACATTATCAGCGGAGCAGAAGACAGTACGTGATGTGATGACAACCGGCTCGGTTTTGCTACAGCCTCCTCCAAGTGAAAAGCCGATTTCTGCAAATATGGCCTTCTGCTCAGGCCCCCACCTCTTCCTCCCATCCGAATTTTTTGCTCTGGCGAGGGCTTCGATTGGAGCCGTAGCTGGAGATCCGCATGATCCGCGTGAGTGGTGTGCCGAAGTGGGCGGGGCCTCGCATGTGGACGCGCCCACTGGGGCCGCTGGTGAGCTCCCTGTGGGGCACGATCCGCGTGAGGCATGTGCCGAAGTGGGTCGAGGGCGGCATGCGACGGCGCCCACTGGGGCCGCAGGTGGAGCTCCTGTGGTGCACGATACGCGGGAGGGTGTGCTGAAATGAGCCGGGGGGCGGCGTGCGACGGCGCCCACTGGGGCCGCAAGTGGAGCTCCCTGTGGGTGCACGGCCAGCCACCGGGGCCGCACAGGGGCGTCCGGGGACCCTCGGGACCTCTGGGAGCGCCCGGGGGTCAGGTCGCGGTCGTCGTTGGGCAACTCGAGGCAAGCGGAGGGCCCTGGAAGTGCCTCTCGATGGGCCTTAAACGGCCTCGACGCGCCCGCGTGAGCCCCCCTGAGAAAAGCGCCAACGGCTAGGGGGCCCAAAAAAGCCCCAAGAGCCCTCAATGGTCCACCGTTGCCTTCTACTCAAAGCTGAGCATCCCAGCCCCCACACGGGTCCTCAAACATGAGTCCTAACCTCCGGAGGTTGGGGACCAGCTCCTCATCGACGATCGACGCCCTCTTCTGCCCCTGCCGCCTTCCACTGCCCAGCAAGTCTTCCCCCATGATGTTCCTCGAACTCATCCTCATCCTCATCCATGCTCTTCCTAGTCCTCGAAATTTTCTCAACGTTCTGCTGCTCATGTACCCCGGCCTCCTTCCTCCTCCTCCTCGTCCTGTCCTCCCCCTCTCGCCGCCCCATCTTTAGGCCTCGTGCTCTCTCGCTCTCCGCCTCTTCATTCATCATCTTCTTCACATCATATTCATCTTCATCAAGTCATCATCATCATGCATCATCATCATTCCACGCCCCATACTCAGTTTCCCTTTCCTCCTCCTCCCACACAGATTCAAATGGGCTACCGAAATCACTTATTTCAGCGACAAAGGGCAAACATGTTCGAGGACAACCCAACAGCGCCGCAAAGAACCCAAGAGGCGCCACAGGGACCCTCAAAGGGCGTCCAAGACACCAGCTGCGAGGCCAAAAGGCCCTCCAGGAAGGCCAGATGGTTACAATGCATACGGCATTCCCTAGGTCCTGCAAACTTATGCGTTTCCCGAACATGTCAGCTCAAGATGTTTGGCAGACGGCCTGGGCGAAGCCAAGGGGAGGCCAAGCGCGCAGCACGAGGTCCCCAAGAGGTCCCCCCAGACGGCCCAGGGCAGCCCCAGGATGGGCCCCAGACGGCCCAGGGCAGCCCCAGGATGGGCCCAGGAGGAGCGCAGGACAGATGAACAGGGCCCAAGAGGGCCCCAAGAGACGCCCCCATGACAGCCTTAAGAGACTCCCCAAGCGGCCGAGAGTTGAGCAGTGACCGACCGTCTCAGTTGGGCTCTAAGCCTGGCCAGAAAAAATCCTAGAACCAAGCATGATATCATAACATAAACAATGTGTTTAGAACAATTGGGGGTCCGATCGCGTTGACGTCGGCTGTATGCAACCGCGAAAACTCTTGGGGGGGGCCAGAAATGCCCCCGCCAAGGCCCCGCTCTGGGGCCCAAAAAACAATATGTTTAGAACATGTTGGAAATGTTCCTAACATGACTGTTCTGGACGCGCTTCCCGCATAGAGCAAATGTTCCAAGAATCTCCACTGGAAAATGTTCCGGGCTAATGTTTTGGGCCATTGGTTTTTATGTTCCGGACCGGTGTTTTTTTCTGATGCGAGCGTGCCGCCGCAGCTGGGGCGGCACGCTGAGCACGAACGAGGAAGGGCCCGCACACCGTTTAAAAAGGTCGGACATGCAGTGTTGCGCTGTTCTAAACCCCCTCAAGGTTCTAAAAACATGTGTTGGTAGATCCTACAAAAATGCGGGACGCGCCGCCGCCATTGTTCGACGAACCCTCAGTCCTCAGGATCGAATACATCCCCAGGCCGAATTTTTCCTCGTGGATTAAATACGAGAACACCGATGGATCCAACTGGATCCCCCTGTGGACCGTCCTGAGGCCATCTTGGGCCGTCTTGGAAGCCTCTTGGGCAGTCTTGGGGCCCCCTCGAAGGCCTTCCTGGGGCCCTCTTGGAAGCCTCCTGGGCTGTCGTGGGACGAAATTTGGAGCCTCTAGAGCCGTCTTGGAGCCTCGGGAAACCGAACAGGTGAGAACACCACAATCCATCAAAAACCTAAAAAGGGGATCAGTGACTTTTGCTTCCTAGGGCCCTTTTGAGACGCTTCTTGGAGGCCTCTGTGGGCGTCGTGGACGCGTCTGCGGCCATGTGGAGGCCATCTTGGGCGTCTTGGACCGATCGGAAAGCGACCCAGAGACATCTTGAGGACAGCTTGAAGCCTTCTTGGAGCGCTCTGGGGCGCCGGACAACCGCGCCCAGGCGGAAAACCATCTCTGACGGGACCGTCCCGGTGTACTTCTCGTCCAGGGACCCCCAGGGGCCGCCCCGCACGGGCGAAGTAGAAATATTGTTTACCAATTACCGGAGATCTTGGCGCGCCTCTGGCCCGTTGGGCCGGCGAATTTTCCGGGAATATACATAAAATAATGACTCACATCCTGGACCCACTGGAAACCGGATCCGCGGGGCACCGCACGTGAAGCATCATGCCATCCACGGAACTGTGTATCTGCTGACCAACGCTATGATTCTACGAGGGAGGGGGGGTCTTCCAAGGACGGCTAGGGGAAGGAGGAGGGAGGAGGCACGAGGAGAGGGGAGGAGGGGAGAAGGGACGGGAGAAGGTAAGAGAGAGGAGGCGCCTTCAGGGAGGAGGTGGGGGGGGAGGAAAAAGGGGAGGAGGAGCAAGAGGGAGGAGGGATGCGGAAGGAGGAAAGGGGAGGGAGGAGGCGGGGGGAGGAGGGGGGAGGTGGAAGGAGGAGGGAGGAGGGAGGACGGGGAGCAGGAGGACAGGCAAGCAAAGTGTCAAAATCGGAATATCGAGCACCACAGCGAGCCGGGCCTCCCCCCTCAGCCCCTCCCATAACATGTGGTTGCTCGAGCGCCACACCGGGCCTGGCCATCGCCCGAAAAATCCTCCCATGACATAAGGTTGCTCGAACGCCACAACGGGCCTGGCCAACTCCCGCATTTCCTCCCATATCATATGGCATGCCCAAAACCGAAGAGAGTGCCACATGTATCCGCTCATACTGAACGGCACTTCGCTTCCGACATTCGCGGCTCAAGCGGACAATCTTTCGGCCTGCGTAAGTACTCACAGCCCCGGACCGCAAACTCCCAAAATCTCCCAAGCTCCTGGCGTGCTTCCAGGGGCTCCCCCCGTGTTGTCACTTGCCCTTTTCTGGGCCAAGAGGGCCCCAAGACGGACCAAGGAGAGGGCCCCAAGAAGCTCCCATGACGGCCAAAGAGGGCCCAAGAGCTCCCGTAGAGCGTTTCCTCTTTCAACCTCAATTTCTTCCGCTTCGGGGAGGAGTTTACCTCTCCCTCTTCCCCCCCCCCGGGTCTGCACTGGGCGCCCCGCAAGCGGTCAGAGCGTCCAAGATGACCCAAAATTGCTCCAAGAGGGCCTTGGAGAGCCCAAGATGGCTTCCAAGATGGCTCAGGATAGCGCAAGATCGCTCCAGATGGCCTCCCACATGCTCTAAGAGGCCCCCAAAACCAATCCAAGACGGGCCCAAGTGCTATTCAATGCTCTGCAATGCTCACACAACGCCATGCTATGCAACCCCATGAAATGCTACGGAATGCTACATATTGTTATGTAAAGATATGCAATGCTACGGTTTCAATGCAATTCAAATGATGTGTAATGCTACGCATGCTCTGCAATGCTACGCAATACTATGCGACGCACTGCTGCATGACGCAGTGGCGTACCATGGACTGCTTGGGCATATGACGAAACGTCGCAGATAGGCAAGCCTAGCGGTACGGTATCAGAGTGTTAGTGCGACTGTGATTTCGCATGATCCTGCCGATGTTCCCTGTGGATGTCTGAACACCGAGCTGTGGGGGGCCCGTGCAGAATCTACCCGACATGCATTCTGTACGCGGCTGGGCGCTGTTGGCCACCGCTGTTGGCCCTGACCTTCGCGGGCCAAACGAGAACCTCGCCAGGGAGCGCGGGGCAAAAAGCGGCCGCTGCGCAGGGCTAGCAATTGCCCGCTGGCCTTTGCACTCCCCCCATCAGGCCTCATGGGCCCAACGCTATCTTCAGGTGAGCATTCACCGTTGGTGGTCACATTCCAGCCCTTGCATTGGCCCCCGAAAGCCTGGCACCTCACCTCTTGCAGAACTCTGCGTTCTGCACTTGGATCGGCGCCTCGTAGTTGTGCCCATCGTTGTTTGCTGGTTCTCTGGTCCCCGCAGCTGGGGGTAGCCAGTAGCGCTGCCCTGAACGCCCGCATCGTCTGCATGTTCCCGACGCTTGTCTTCAGGTAGCACCTCGTTGTTGTTGGTCACGGGCCAAACCCGTGCACTTGTTTGCTCCCCGCTCATACCGCACAACCGCTTGCTAGTCTCAGTGTGTCGGTGATTGACGATCGGGCCCTCGTAGTTGCTGCCCCAGTTGTTGTTCCCATTCCAGGTGCCCCCGCAATAGTACGAAGGTCCGGAGCTGAGGCCTCCCTGCTCACTGCCGCACACCCGAGTGGAGCAACTGCTGTCCCAATCAGATTGCGTGTTGTAGTACTGGTGGGCCTTTCCAAGGCCGCAGTTCGGGCCTGAGCACTCCACGTGGCAACCGGGGGCATACATGCGGTTGTTCCAGTCCGTGCCGCAGTCGCTGCACTCCCCAGCCGGCCACCAGCAGCAGAAACTGC